GAGTGCAGTGAGAAATCTTTGAGAGCAAGTAAGAAGTTGTTATTGCTATGAATTTGGTTTTTGAATAATTCTTATTAATGCATATACACTTTGGTTTAGAAATGAGAAAGGCAGTTTTTTTTGTTGTGAAATTGAACTACTTGGCCAGATGACTACCCATGTGTGAATGTTAATCCTTTGTTACCCTATTTGAGCCTTGTATATATTTTTTTGAACCCTAAGCCTATTACAGAACAATCTACCTTATCCAACACTCTAGAAGAAGAGAATAATTAACATATTTGTCAGGATGTAGGTAGAAAATAAGTTTGGGGGAAATTATAATCAGTTGAGTGTCATAAAAAAATAATATTATTGTATCATGTAAATATGAAAAGTGTTCCGGTTAGAGGAAAATTGAGAACATATGTTATGTGATGAATGAAGAGGTTGTTGATAAATAAAGTTCAATGTTGTTATGTTCTTGTTCTCCTCTTCTTTAGTGTTGTTTTGTTTCCTTGTTATGTTTCTTCTAGCCAAGCCAAGTTATAACTTGAGAAAGACCTTTTGATTTAAACCAGAATGTATGAATTGTGTATGAGATGACTTGCAAAAGTTGATGAAGTAGTTGATGACAATCTAAGTGTGAATTGGAGTTGTAAACACTTGTAGGTTGAGAAAAACACTAATTGAGCATTGATGTATTATTCTTTTTCTGGTTGTCTTATCATTATGGGTTTAAGAACTTGTTTAATAGAGAAATCATATCATTTGGTCTGAATATTTGAGATGCATGTACAATGCTCACTTCTGTGCCAAAGATTATGTGATAGAATGACAATTGTTCCTATGGGTTTTGTTATGTTGTTATTGTTTCTTTTCATGAGGACATTAAAATATATAAGTTTGGGAGAGTTGGTAAGTGTCAATTTCACCTATATTTGTTACCTAATATAATGTGTTTTTGAGTAGTTTAACTGCTTATTCTCATGACAAGTGTATAAATGTTGATATTTGTATATTCTTTGAATGTTTAAATGAGTATTGATGTTTTTATGTGTTATTTGGCATAGAATAAGGATTGGAAACTATCAAGGATACCCTGCATGCATTAGTCACCCAGCTAGGAGGAGCCACTCGCCCAAGCGAGCCACTCGCCCAGCTAGCAAGAGCAACTCGCCCAAGCGAGCCACTAGCCCAGCGAGTGGGAGCTGCTCGCCCAACAAGCCACTCGCCCAGCGAGTGGGAGCTTCTCGCCCAGTGAGTGGTGACTTTTTGCCACTCGCCCAACGGCTCGTGCAGCTCGCCCAACGCCTCGTGTAGCTCGCCCAGCGGCTCATACAACTCACCCAACGACTGGTCACTTAATCAAACCTCATTAAAATGACGCGAAACTGAACCAGAGGGGATAGTTCTGGACAGTGGAGACGCTGTAGAGGCTCCCAACTCGAGTTTGGAGGATTCAAGGGCACTAGAACACCACTTCTCACCATCCAATCCATCCATTTTCTTCCATCTTGCTTCTGTGATGTCTAGGAGTAGCTAAAACTCCATTTCACTAGGGTTGAAAGTAATGTATCAAAACTCTGTGTATACTTTGTTGTTTTATGTTAATCTTTGATGAATCTTTTGTTCTATCCTTGCTATTCATGCTTAATGATGGAAATCTGAGCCATTAGAGTGATTTGAATAATTGGGAAATGCTAAGATCACGCACCTAGGTAGAACAACCAACAAAACTTAATTATAGACATAGATTGAGAACTTTCGGGCATCAATAACATCGGTCTTAATGCAAATTTGAATTCTAAGGGATTAGAGTTTCTGTAAAAAGATTTAGAGCTTGTCATATGAGGAATTAGAGTCTTGTCTGCTTATGATGTTGATGCATGATTCTTGAGGAATTGTATCTGATATTAAAGAGCACTGAGTTTTGAACATGAAATTCAACCCCAATGAACCTAAACTCGACTCTTTTTACCACTTTGTATATTTGAATTTTAAGCTGTATCGTGTAGAAAAATACATTTGATAATCATATTTGGCGCTAAATTAGTAAACTTTCACAATTAGTAAGTCAAAACAAATCTCTTGGGAAACGATATCCGGACTTACCGGTTTATTACTTGAACGATTCAATGCGCTTGTCGAGGTCTAACCTTTATTCTTTATCATTTTATTTCTTGCTCATAATCTTTAATCTATGTATTATTCTTTAGTCTAGATGAGTTATTAATTGTATGATTATCTAGTATTACCCAATTCTCTTGGGAAATGATACTTAGATATACCATTTTATATTGCTTGAACAATTTGGTGCGCTTGCCAATTAGTTAACAAGTTTTTGATGCCGTTGCGGGGGAATTATGGTTAAAACTAGACTATTGTGCAATTTCTAACCTATTTAGACTTTATTCTTTGGACATAACTTACTCCTTTTCTTGTAAATAAATATTCAAACTGATTTATGTTGACTTGTGACTTTAGTTTAGTTGTCTCTAAGTGTATGCAGGGTAACATCTTCACAAAGAGGGATCTATCCTCAAAACCAATCATTGTAGACCTAGAGAGAAGGAATTAATGACACAAGGATACAATAAGATTAAGCACAACAAGCTGCCCTTAATTCTCCCTCATTTGATGCTCTTATTGTTTGTTGAAAATGTTAGTGAAGAGGTAGAAGCAAAAGAGGATATCTAGTTAACCATCATTCTTTGATGGGAAGCAACAACTAATGCCTTGCAAGCCAATGATGACAAAAAACAAGTTGTGGGTGTCTAAAGACATCAAAGCTAGTGGAAGGGTTGAAATTGAGACTCCTTATGCTAGGAGAGATGATTTGGTGACTAGTGATGGTTAAAGGTGTGTTGGTGGAAAAAAAAAGGTACACACCAACAATAAAAATCATGCTTCATCGCTTCATCTGCCAGACTCATGACGTTAAACAAATGCTTCCTAAAAAACAATCTAGCGTTATAAACCTTTCTTCTTATTTTTTTAGTTGTCTTAATGTGTTTGTTTTTTTTTGTGCAATTTGTGACATGTTGAGTATATGCTTGTTTCTAATGTTTTGCATTCAAGTGTTGGATGAAGCTTTGGTGTTGTAAATGTGGTTTTCATGTGTGATTTGAGTTAGTTTTAGCATAGTTTGTGTTTGAGTGCAAGTGTTTAAGTGTTGAGTGCCAAAGCTCAAAGATTGAGAGGCTAAACCATTAACACTCTAGCCTCTATATGTCTCTCACTCAGTCCTACCTAGTATAACCTAGCATTAGCTTAAAAAACTAGTCATTAAAATTCGACCGCTCAACGGTGAACTTTTGGCGCTAAGCACCACACTAGTTAACCCTACAATGTTAATTTGGTTGATACACCACTAATATATGCTTGATATTAGTGAATTTCAATACTTAATTAACTCTTATCTTGTTTTGATTATGTATAAAATCTATGTATAAAATATGTATTTTTGAAGAAAATAAGAAGATTTTCAACCATTTTAAAAGAATTTGCTTTACCACGGTTGTAGCACTACTTGAGGGCTTGAACCAAGAGAAAGCTCATTCAAGAAGGTTTCCTTAAGCTATAAGCCAAAGATTGAGCCATTAAATAATGTTTTATTATTAAGCAACCTAAAATAACTCTAGACCAAAAATTCATAGCTTAAGCAATGGAATAAATTTACCGAAAAAGTAAACATCAACTTTATATTTTGTTGACTATTATTTTAGTAATTCTAAAGTTATTATAGTTCAACAATATTAATTTCACAACATTATCAAATTTGTATCGCATCCTAAATTCAACAAATTGATTTAAATCAAACAAACAAATTTATAAGGGTCAAATATATAAAATATATTAAAATTTAAAAAAGATTTTGGGGGGTAAGACCCCCTCAATTCCCGTTAAGCTATACCATTCAACTTCATATAAAAAATGAAAAAAAAAATATATAGACAAAGTTTCCTTCATGAACATGACTTCCTTTGTCATATTTAATAACGAAAACCATCTCTCAATTGTACACTTCTTTATTTATTTTGAACTGAAACTCTGAAACTATTAATTAGGTACACTACATCTCAAATTCTTCCTACTCAAAACTTATATTTTTTTTTCAAATTTATCTATTGTCATAATTTTTGTACAAAATGCTGTATAATAAAAACACCTAATAATACATACACACTAATAATACATACACACTCATATGCACACACAATAAAAAATTATTATTTTTATCATAAGAAAAATATAAATACACATAGATGTGTTTCAACAATAAAAGTGTTGGATTTAAATATTGAGATCTTTCTCCATATATATTATACCAAATATATATAGAGAACTATTTAGCGTGCTTTCTATTCAGATACCAAATAGGGCCAAATAGTTACTTATAAGATGAAAACAAATAGCAATTTCAGGGATACATTAGCCAAAATTTTAAAAGTGTTTTATATTAATAGATAAAGAAACCTGTTAATCCATAATATTTGTTTATTTATAATATTTGTTTATATTATAACAAAGAAATATAATTGTTTATATTTCTTTGTTATAATTAATTATTATAATAATAATTAATTTTCAATAAGTATCAATAAAACATTTATTCGAGAATTTAAACACAAATATTAACTTTATATAATAACTCTGAATTTAGAGATATTATTAAATTTTATAATTATATCATTTATTCATCGTAAGTTACTACTATTTAAAGGAAAACTAATAATTCTAAAAGTTTAATTATCAAGAAAGAATTCTACTAATGCCACTATCATGTGATGAATATATCTCATTGAAATACCCGTAAATCCTTTTAAAGAAAAATAAAAAGTTTTGGGTACCATTAAGAAAATGTTAAGTCATATCTTAAAATTTAAAAATCAAATGGATAACGATTGAATATTTTTTAGATTATGGTCTTTAAGTGTTCCAAAAATATACATGTATACCAGAAAAAAAAATATTGAATACTTTGAAATTACTGGAAGTATTTAAGGAATATTGGTGTAATAGAAGGGTTATACGCTTTTTAAGGACCAGAAAACAATGATCATATTATCTTTTGAAAATCAATTATGGAGAATTAAACGTAATCCTGGGAACCACTTGCTGTGTAATGCCGCCCTATAATCAGAATCAGCATACAGAACAATCAAAATATTGCACAATCCGCAAACAGTTATCTAATCTAGACCAGGTACGACTACGTCAAGATATACTTACTTGACAGCAGTTGTGTTGAGTGTCTTACCTTCACTTTATTTGGCTGTAGAATTTATTTTTTGCTCTTCTACATGATTTTGCACTGACAACGGTGGGAAAGTGGAGGTGGAACGATGTCGCTCCCTCTTATTGTTCTAGGACATCGAGTAGTTGTTATTCGGGATTCATCTACATATAAGCTAGCCTCTATATTGTCAACTCTCTCACCTTGCCGCACAATAACAGGCCACTGCACCTGAAAGTTCATTGCCCTCAATGGTGCACCCTCTACACCTGTCTCTGATCTCAATATTGTTTCACACATTTCATCTACAGCCTTGCCCTTGCCCTTTATCTGTCTTTTTCGCAACTCATTCTCGCTTGCTTCTTCTACAGCCTTGCCCTTGCCCTTGTCCTCTCTTGCTCTGCTGCTCTCAGCTCCTACTATTTCTTCACAGGGCCCCTTGGACTCGTCATCTCTTGTTCCGCTCTCAGCTTCTACCATTTCTTCAGATTTCCCTTCGCCCTTCTCCTGTCTTGCTCCGGTCCCAGATGCTACTCTCGCTGCACTTTCCATCACCTCTCGTAGTTTCTCAGCCTCGCTCTTACCTTCTTCAACTTCTTTAGATGCCTCCCCCGCTTCCTCGTTCCTATTCCGATTTCGGCGGTTTAACAGTGCTACATCTTCTTCTTCTTCTTCTTCATCATTTTCCAACACCGTGTTCAAAACCTGGATCCGCGAGCTCCTTCTTTGTTTTCGTACTCGTAATTCAGCTGCTTTTCCTAATCCTTCTTCTGATTCCGTTGTCGATGAGGAGGGAACAGGAAAGATAACTTCTCCAGAACTTTTACTTATGTTGATTTTCCTATGACGACAAAGCTGAACCATCTCTTGATAACAGGCCATAAGATCATCCTAGAAGAACATGATAGTATAAAAATATAATTAGGCATAATTTACTAATCAAGACAACAGGCCAAAAGCTCCCACAAGAAGAACAGGATAGTATGAAGCTTCCGTTGCATGTACCGAAAGGCGAATTGATCCCTCAATTAAGGTAAATTTTGAGGAATATCCAAGGTAAGTAGCAGCCAGTAAAGCGGACATTGCAATTTCAGAAGGTTTGAATTGAGCGAAGTAGACCTCTGTAGACATATGGGGAAAAATTGTTCACTCAGCACCAGTATTAGCAAATACATAGATTCAAAAAATTATTGTTATGTTACCTCCTTGAGACTGGACTATGATCTCATTAATGCATTGACGTTTAAAACCACCGATTCTTTTGAAGGGGGGATAATAGTAGTCCAGGAAGTGAAAGGGAGTTATAGATCGCATTCGCCAGTCAAGTCCGCTGAGAATGCGAAATTCTATTCTCATTACGACTTCGGTTTTGTAAACAGCTTCTTTTCTCGTCTGCTCAACAAATCAGTGCATTTTGTGGTGTAATTTTAGTTAAATACTGAGCTTAGAATTCAACGTTATTTTAATTTCAGTGGAAGGTGTGGTTCACCAGAAATTGCTTTTGCGGGAAATTCTTTGTCCTCATCTTGGCGGAAAGTGTGTAGCAACATATTGCTACCAAACGAACTTTATCAAGTAAAGAAGACCCTTGTAATTCCTTGAGAAAAAACAAGGATTATAACACAAGAAATCAAAGAAAATACAATTACAAATTTCAAAACTTGTACAAGCCTTAAAGAAAGAAATATATTACTGTAAGCGAATTCGTTGAAATAAAGCGATCGAAGTAATTCACAGCAACATATGGAATGTACGAATCCATAGGTTCAGTGGTAGCGAACTGTGGAAAAACATGGAAAAGAAATTAGCGCAGAGAGTAAAATTTCAATCCACAGTGACAGAGATCTATAAACAAGATTAAAAAACAGTGCAAATCAGGTCCAATTCTCTTCGTGTTTTAACGCGAAAATTAAACAAGCATTCTGTTTTCCTCGTGTTTTTTAAGTAGCCAAACAGGGAGGAAAATGAGTTTCATATCACGGCCAATAAAACAGAGAGAAAAAAGAATCTGACAATAATTAAGCAAATTTGGAAACAGACATGCTTGGACGAAAGAACCGGTTTCGCTTCCGAAAATTATCCAAGGAGAACTAAAGAGTAGCGGATAGTTAAATTTTACTTCACAGCAGTTACACAGATCCATAAATAAGATTAAACAATCTACGCAAAGATAATACATTTTGTTTTCCTTCTGTTCCACGGACGAAATTAAACGAGCATTCAAATTCTTTAGTATTTTTTAAGTATCCAATCAGAGACAAAAACCGGCTTATAAACGCAGCCTAGAGAAAAAGGAGAGCAAAACGAAACTATCAATGACGTATCAGACTCTTGCACAAAAGAACAAAACCGCAGCCAGACAGATTGAACAAGAAAGCCAAAGACGCAGCGTTGAAAATGAAAGCTGAAAGAAATGGATTAACTGCCGAAAGTGAAATCTCTGAGAAACAAACAGAAAATTCATTCATGCAAGAATTTAAGATTCTCATAACGGCGAAGCAAAAAGAAAGGAAAAGCATCTCGAATTTTCACTTACCTTAGCTATCATCGAAACCGCGTGCATCCGATGCCGAGCGTTGGATGATAATGAGTAAAACGACCTAGGAGCCATGAATTCGTGCTCGATTTTGAAGTAATCACTTATGGTTTCCAGATCTCTTTTAGAAAGCATGGAGAACTCGGTATCGAAATCCATCGTTAGAAGAAGCTTCTGAAGATTCAGGGAAGTGAAGAGTTGCGTGTTTCTCAAGAAAGTGGAAAGAAAACGAAGGAGAAAGATCGAGCGTAGTTTGCAGAATCTGAAGCCTTCGCCCTCTCTTTTATCGGTTCTTTGTTTCTAACGGAAACTGGCTCGGAAGCGCGCCAGTTTTGAACTTTGCAATACGACGTCGTAATTGGAGTAACTTTGCAAAATGAGTTCATAACGGTTATTTGTGGATTTTTCATTTCATTTGATATTAATTTAGTTTTAATTTGTCAAGTGCAATGGAAGTTAAACTGCTTTGTTTACTGAACAGCACGTGGTGACAGCATGCATTATCACTGTTATTTGAAGGTCTTATCTTAATTAGATGGCAATAGTGTATTTTAGTTACATATCGATCCATTCACCGACAGAACCAACACTGTGCAGTGAGTGGAACGAATTGTGATGGTTTTCAATAGCAAAGAGGCTGGAAACTGCATTGAAAATGTAATTCAAATGAGGGAGATTTCCGTAACTAGTTAAGGACAAAGATAATATAGTAGTGGCACGTGTAAACGTGTTTACAACTTCATCAAAGCTTTACTTTTTAACACCAAAAGTTGTATATACAGCTTGAGAAGAAGCAAGATAAAGATATGGCCTACAATTCTAATTAACACTACTAAAAAACGACTTTTAAAGGCTTCCAATACGCTTCGGTTTTAGAAAAATCGAAGCATATTCAAACGCGGTGGCGTTTAATTAATGGAAACTTATATGTTTCGGTTAATGGGGAACTGGTGTCTGAAAGTGCTACTACCTCGGTTGTCTAAGCTACCCGAGGCATAAAACTGTCATGAAGGTGATACCGCCTCGGCTCGACGCAAAATCGGTGTCTAAACACGCTATTACTACACCGTAAAATATAATGGTTTTCAGTTCCTCTTCTTCTCTCTCACTCAGATCTCCTTCTCAGTTCCTCTTCTTCTCTCTTCTCCGTCGCTCTGCCGCTCCGTCGCTCCGTTGCTCCGTTGTCGCCACTTCGTTGCTTTGCTTTCACGGTACCCTTCTCACTCTTCCTCTTTTTCTCAAACTCTCAGATCTCCTTCTCACAGTTCCTCTTCTTCTCTCTTCTCTCTCGCTCAAATCTCAAAGCCACCACTCCGCCGCTCCGCCTCTTCGTCGCCACCACTTCGTTGCTCCGCTGTCGCCACCTCTCATTCAACGCCGCCGCTCCGTTTTCGCTGCCCAAAGCCATGGCTGCATCCCACCCCGCAACTCCACCACGGGACGCGATCTCAGATCTCACTCCACTGCCTAGTGCGGCCCGTGCCAGTGGTGGAGCCGCTGGCCTAACACCCGGTCCAGCCCCCTTCCGGTCCAGCCCCCTTCTGGTGCTAGTGGTGGTCACGACAAAGCGTCTCTACGGTTGTTGGTCATCCGATTTGGGGGTTAGGGATTTCAATGGGGTTTTGACTGGATTTGGGGGTTAGGGATTTGAACGGGGTTTTGACTAGATTGGGGGTTAGGGATTTGAACGGGGTTCATGTATTGCTGATTCAAAAACATTCATCTGTGATGAAGATGATAAGAACAATCAATCTACTTATTCCCTATTTCCTGATTCAATTTTTATTTTAATTTTTGGGTTTCTGAATCTGCTTGTTCACTGTTCAATTTTTGGGTTTCTGCGTGAGAGTTCCAGGAACAGAGGCTCAGAGGCTGGTGGAAAAAATAAAAAAACAAACACGTTACTGCCTCGGTTACTCAAAAACCGAGGCATAAATCCTATCTTTTTTAACCCAGTTCACAACCGAGGCATAAAACTTACCTCTTTTTACCTCGCTGGTATATACTTCGGTTCTACAACCGGTGCCTATAAGCAAAAGTAACCGGTGTCATCATATCCTCTTAGTGCACTAGTGGAAACATTAAAATTGTAACTATGGCTTTTAGAAATTTTTGTAATTAAAAGGGGAAAACACTGTTTCTTAGTTGTGTTGATTGATGAAACTTTAACATTAATGGCATAAGTGAAAAATAGAATTATAACATTTAGAGGAAAACTACAAATTCCTTTTTATCAAGTGTTTCACTTATGCCATTAAAATAATCGTGTATTGCACTGATAGTTTAATACTAGTTTGGGTTAATTTGTTAGTATAACTCTTATTATAAGAGTATTTACATTAGTTGGGTTAGAGGAGTTTTTAGAGACTAATGTAATTTGTGTCGAAATAAAAATTCATGATAAATTTGAGCATTGGGTATATTTTATAAAAGAAATTCTTTATTTTTGAAGTTAGTAAAACAATAAGTGAATTGGGGACACATGTTTTAAGTATCATTACCTTAACCTTAAACTTTGATTAATTTTTTTTACCAACAAGTATAAAAACATGTTTAACTAATTACATAAATTGGGATATTTTTTTAGGATTTTGGTTCAATATTTAATTAATTTGATTTTAATAAACTAAATCAACTAGATATGGATTCTTTATCAAAGTGAATTAGTAAATTTTTATTTTTCAATCTAACTCAGAATATATTGTTTTAAGATTTCATAACTAAGATAAAGTTGATGTGTACTAAATTAGGATTAACTTTATAAATATATTTAATTTGCTAGATTCTCTTTTAATTTTGATTTCAATAAGAAATTCGTGTATTTCTTCTCAATAATCATATTTATACATTTTTGTGTTTAAAGATAGAATGGTGTACGAGGGTTGAATAGTAACAACGAAAATGAGATGGATTGATTTGATCAATTGAAAATGTACGTTAATTGCAAAAACTAAATTTCAAAGTACGAAACAGAAATTAATAAAAGAAAGCTACAAAAAGCAGCCACTCAAATGGTAAGAATCATAACTAAATTTGTCAATTTTTATTTACAACGTTCTTAAAGTGCACAATTTTTGTCACTTTTTTTTTTTTTACATTTGAGTATACATATTATTTTCCCCTTTTTCTAATAGTTAAGCAAAAATTAAACATTAAAAAAAATACATAAATTGTAGTAACTACTTCAAAATCGTCTGTGTTAAGTCATATGTGTCTACTCAATCAATATTTTGCAGCAATTATCATAAGTTAATTTCTTTTTTATCTAGCATTGTCCCTTTACGATTATGTATAACATGTTTTTATCAATGTTACTTTTTTTATTAACAAATATTAGTTATTAGTATTTTTTTAATAAAAAAAGTTAAATTCATAATTTTTCTCACCCTCCCTTTCAATTTTATTGCTATGTTAAACTTATAACTCCTTCAACACCACCTATCTTAATATGCTATTCAAATTCTGGATCATTCTTTGTTCACTTTAACTCTTGTATTGGCCTTTATTTTGATATCTCTTCTCAATACCAAAGTGTCTCCATTTTCCTTTAATCCTTTTTTTCACATCACCTTGATAAACTTCTTTAATGCTTCAAATTCAATACCCTTAACATATGTATATTTAATTGAAGGTATTATTATTATTTAAATTTTAAAAAGTAATTATTGAAAAGATTAAACTGAAAAAAAATTGTGTACCCTTTAATAGTGTATACAATTTTATTATGTAATAAATATTTTAAATTAAAAAAGTAGCTACTAAAAGATAAAATTTAAAAATACTTTTTATAATAAATTATTTGAATTTGAAAAAAAAATAATAATTAAAAGGATAAAACTAAAAAAAAATGTGTACACGTCCAATCTCATGTAATATGCATAATTATTTAAATTTAGGAAAGTAACTACTAAAAAGATAAAATTTAAAAATGATTTTTTATTGTAAATAGTTATTTTAATTAAAAAAATAGTTATTCAAATGCTAAAGCTGAAAAAAATTGTATACACAGTGAATCTCCTTTAACAATATAGATACTAATAAAATATTTTCCATTTTTACTTTTTTAATAATTAATTTTTTAAATTCAAATAACTACTATGATAAAAACACTATTTTCGTAATAAAAAATTATGTACAATAAAATTATAAAATTTATTATTTTTATAATTAATTTTTTATAAAAATTATGTGGAATACTAAATTTTTTTTATTTTAATAATCAAAATTTATTTTATGGTTTAATAAAACTTTTGTTATGGTAAAACAAAAGTGGATACACAGCATGTATGTTTCTACTAATATATACATAGATTTTTCATTAAATAATTAAAAAGAATTACTGTACCAAAAAAATATTTACAAATAGTTTTAATGATATTTTTTAAAAACCACTTTTTTTCTCAAATAAATAAATAATTTCATGAAAAAATAGAATGACTTATAATTTTAATTTATTTGTATATGTTAGTTTGTCAAATTTTAAAACAAAACAGTTTTATATATAAAAAAAAACGATTGTCCCAACATTTCACCCCTGCATATCATCACAAGCATAATTTCGAGTGATCCTTTTAAAGAATTTTTAAGGGAGCAAAAAAAAAAAATGGATTCTATAATTAAGCTAAAATTTATTTATATATAAACTAATGAGTAGAAAGTATCTTACATAATCTTTTTAGTTTTAAATTTTTAACTGATTCATAAACTAGCTTCAATTTATGAAAAAAAGACTTTTTTTTTCTAATCGGCAAAGTATATATATATAATATGGAGCATTTGGGATACTCTAACTCGTCCACAAAATTAAATTTTTTTTTTTTAATTTTTATAACTCTTGGTAACCTGACTTATAAATTATAAATAATAAAATTGGTATTATTTACAAATTGATGGTATTAAACATGGAAAAACTTGAAGTGTCATATATGATATTTTTCTAAAACGTTAAATCGTAATGTACATTAAAAGTTAATTAATGCATTAATTAGCATGTGAAACATGCAGGTAGCAGAGGCAGGTGTAATGAGGATGCTAAAGAGATAGAAAATATTCATATGTTCTGAGTTGTAGCAATAAATAAATATAATTGAATAATATTTGATTTTGAAAAGAAAAGATAGTGATGTACAGTGTAATAATACTGACAGTAGGTTGGTCAAAACTTTGAAGGACAAGTAGATACGTAGACGTAACTTTGGTGCCTCATGCATTAACCTTTATTTTCATTCACTGTTGCCTTCAACCCTAATTTCTGCATCACTTTTGAGGTGGTCCCTAACTTCTCAAACATGCAATCAGACACAGAAGAAAAACTCACATCTTCAGACATTGAAATATAGACAAGTTTATGTTCTGTGAATGCTTAAGGATGAAGCCTTTCACTTTCTTCAAATTATTAATAAAAGACTCAGAGCCATTTTATGGTCAGATAGCGTATGATGATAAGAAAATAATCAATTTTATAATGAATTTCGTACTAAACTTTTGAAAATATTACTTTGATTTATTTCAAATCATTAAACTAGTTAAATAAAAAAAATATTATAATTATCGATAACATATATCGCATTAGACTAATTGTAACAGTAATTATATTATCAGTTTTTTTATAATTATTTTTTCTAATGAAACTTATTTCAAATCAGTTTAACAAATTTTATACCGAATTTTCCTATCAGATCAATCTTGAAGTCATGCTTTGGAATTGCGTTTATGACTGATTCAACTGGCCAATTCCATGTGGTTCTTAGATATATGATTACGTAAAGAGAAAATATTATATTTAACGTTGTCTCTTTTTTATTATTAGGCTTATTATATGATATAATTTCTCTAATAAAGTGAATTTCTCTTGAAGTAGATAGATAAATAGAGTTATATCTACTCGAGTTTGTTTGTAAATATTAATCTCGCTATACTTCAAATTAAATCTATTAAAATATAATAATGATTTGTATTTACAAAAAAATAAAAATGTTGTAAACAAGTTTACCTTCTCTTATTTTACACATGTAATTTAGAGCGTAATGGAAAGTGTTCTTATATATAAAATAATTATCAAAATATAGCTATCATTTAATTTGTTTTAAAATTTACTAATACAAATTTTTTTCAGCTGATTTGAAAAAAATCCTATGATTAAATTTATGACATTTTTTTTTTCGTAAAAAATGTTTACTGAAGAAAATAAATAAAAAACTAATTATCGATTAAAATTACTCAAATTCCATTAATGTATTTCGAAGAAGGACTACAACAACTTCTAATTAAGTGCTTGTTTGAATTTATATTAAACAATCCTCAATCACATTGAAATATAAAATGTGATTTTAGATAAATGAATAGATGAAAAATGGTTAATAGCACGTAACTAAGTAGTTCTAATATATAGTTGGCTTACATTTTTAATAATTGGCAGAATCATATATATGGGCAGTGTTAATTAATTATGCCATTTAATTGAATTTTGTGAGAAATAATTCAAGTGCTCGATTATAATTTTGACAATTAATTCTAGCATGCTATTCATTTATTTTTGCCACCTATTTGAAGTAGCTTGGTTAACTGAATATATCATGAATGGACAAAGTTATATATATTTTTAATATAATTTTGAATGGAAAGCAATATTATATATATGAATATGAATATGTGAATTAATGTATAACTCATTCTTCTCTCAATGATTTTAGTTATTTCTAATGTTTGATACGGCCACTAGACAAGACATTCAAAATTTTAGGGAAAATTAAACATATAAAAACAAGAATATGCAAGTGGAGACGAAGATGGCAAATATATAGTAATAAATAGTTCATACATATATGATTGTAATAACAAAGTCTCAAAACAGTCTGAACCGAAATAAAGAAATTTTGAGGTACTAAAACAAATGACACAGCTGAACTTGCATTAACGGAGTTAATCACAAAAGTCCAGAGTCATTCAAGCCATTGGAAATGTTGTACATTAGCATGTTGCTGCTGCCGTAAGTGTCCCTTTCATCTTCTGTGGTTCCGTTGACAAATGTGGTGGAAGATGATGAATTCAAAGTACTTGGGCTGGAAGATGAAGTTGTTGACGATAACAGTGAACTTAAATTGAAATTTGGCATTCCCTCGTTGTTACACAGATTCTGATTTTCCAAGAGACTGTTGAATATAGAGTTGAACTTGGGTGAAGAGAAACACTGCATAGCTGATGATGATTGGGCAATTTGTAAGTCTGATATGTTGTCATAATGCCACAGATTTGGAAGGGTGTTTTGGTGGGTGAAAGAGGTAGCAACTGGAGAGATTTGATTCTCTGATTTACTTTTCATCAGTTGGTGATCCACGTTCAATGGATTATTAGACTTAGCAATAAGGTTTTCTTGAAGTGAAACCTGGGGTTGGTTTGGTTGGAAGGTTTGTAAGGTATCAGCAAGTTGCATTTGGGTACATTGGGGCTGATTTTGCAAGAGTTGGTTATCGTTTTGGTGGAAATTATTATGATTCAATACATTATCAGGGTTGTTTCTGCTTTGACATGAGAGAAGAGTGGAAAGCAAACTTAGCAGCTGGCTGGAGTTTATCACTGATCTTCCTGAAAGAAAAGGGTAGTTGAATTGTGGTGATGAATTGAACAAAGATGTGTTGAGAATGGAGGCAAGTTGTAGAACATCAAGGCGTGGTGCGTGAGTCACAGGATCAATCCCCATCTTGAAAAGCTTTTTCTTGATGTGGGTGTTCCAATAATTCTTGATCTCATTATCTGTTCTTCCTGGCAAGTTAGCAGCAATTGTAGACCACCTGTGCAGGACAAAAATTTCCATTGGAAATCAATAATTAATTTGCCGTGTTACAAAGAGACAAAAGAAGAAAATATTGTTTGTTATTGTATGCATCATTGACTTTGCATAGTTGTCTAGCTACCATTCTCTAACTACAAAATGAATTTTAATGGTTCACAGGGTTTAAAGTCCATGCATTAGTTGGCGATTCTGTATATCATACAAGTAAATTCAAAAAGGGTTCTTTTTTTAAATACATTGTTAAAGTAGACTGAGGAAATATGCATGTACCAACAAGGAAAAAAAAAGGTTAGGACGAAAAATAATGCAGGACTTTAATTCCTCACTTACTTGTTTCCCAAAACACTGTGTAACTGGATGATGGCTTCTTCTTCTTCGAATGAGAATCTCCCTCTCTTTATATCAGGTCTCAAGTAGTTCGCCCAGCGAAGCCGACAACTCTTTCCACATCTTCGTAGTCCTTACGTATTATGAAAAAACAAATGCAATATTTATTGACAGATATATATCATAAGATTCATTTGAAGTTTGTTCGACAAATTGTGTGAAGTAGAAAGTTGTCAAAATCCTTAAATTTTTTAAGGTCATGACTTGCATAAAGTAAAACTTAATTAGAGATGGTCTTAACAAATAAAGTAATCAGTGTTACCTGCATTTTTGGGAAGGGTTCGCCATTTTCCATGTCCATGTTTTTGAATGTAGTCGATGAGTTTCTGATCTTCCTCTGGGGTCCATGGACCCTTCTTGAGTCCATTTTTTTCAGTAGAGGACTTGGTCATGATGAAGAAGATGGAACAATGACAGAAAATTCCCAACACGTCTGTGATGATGAAGGGTTATAGTTTGTATCTGAAAATCAGAAAGAGAGAAAAAAGAAAGAGCTGTAGGATAATGAGGGAGAAAGCGTGTGTATATATAGTAGAGGCTAAATGGAAGGCAATCTACCTAAGAAACATGTTGAAGTCAATGGGATTCGGTACCGTCCTTTCACTCCTATGTTTATTACTTGCTTGACGTGTCTATAATCTTCACAAAATTTACAAATACACTCCCACGTATTATGAGTCAAGATGAACATTTTATATATTCCACTTTTTTTCTTTTTTTTTCTGATTACACCCTCATTTCTGTTTTTATTGTACATTAAAAATCATTTGAGTAATTAATAAATGTTCTTTTTTATTTTAGTGAAATAGAAAGAAAGTATATAACTTTGAACTTATTGAACAAAATGAACTAAGTACAAACTAAGTGAATGAGCTCACTTCCGTAATGAACCGAGACTGTTCTTGTCGTGATGAGTTTGAATTTGACTGGATTTAATTCACTTGCACATTCACTCTGTCACTAGTTTGAGACCCTCACCATCATAAGTTTAATCTATATTTACTTCAATATTATTACACCCATCACATTCAATATCTAGTTGTAGTTTGAGAGGTTATTTAATGGTTAAAAATACATTTATGAGAATCCAAAATATATACCAACATTTGAAAGAAATATTTCTTGGTAAGATTAACGTTCACTTATAAATTTTTATTTGACATTAAATCTCTATCATACTATAACAAACAATGAATTTCATTTGAATCAACTTTTTAAAAAATTAAATATATTTAGTTTTTAAATTTTGACACAAAAATTAAATTTTATTCCCTATTTTAAGTTTAGTTTTTAAATTTTAAAAATAAATAAATATAATCGTTCTAATTTAATTGAATTAAATTTTTTTAACGTGTTAAACAGAATTCCAAAATGATTTTTAAACTGTTTATAACTATTAACATATTTAAACTCAAATATAAACCTGAAACATTCTTCACTTAAAATTAATTAACATTATTGGTTTAAGAGAACTCTAATAATTCATTTATAAAGTTTAAAAAACTGATGAAACTAGTTCTAATTTTAAGATTAAGATTAATTATTATAAACATATTTAACTCTTTTTAAATTATATTAAAATATAGACTTTAAATTTAATTTAATTTTATAAAAAATCACTTATACACTATAAAATTGAATTATTTTTAATCGGTGTGTATCCCGAATGAAATGTGGTAAATAAATTGTAAGAAATTGTTAATAGGAGAATAATAAGTTTGAGTGAGTCACTGTGCAGCAGACATTGTTATAGTTGTTGACCATGATGAGAGGATGAGTTTAGCGTGGATTGTGTTGTGGATGATCGATGAACATGCAACAGAATAACCCTACCATAATAGACTCTGCTACAGTGCACCACCGATATGCTACGTATTCATTGCAAGCTCATGCATATAACTAGCCTCAGCTGGTATGCGAGATTTTCACTGTTTGAGGTTGAACTTCTATCAACACCACATTGCAAAACACGTCTTCATCAGACTGTTTCTACATTTTTCATACACTAATAAATAACTGTAAATACTCTTCCTTTCATTTTTTGACTTAGAAATTGTAAAGTTGGCCTACTAAAAGTTACAAGGATACTGGATTATGTTAATCGATAATATTTGAAAAATATAAAATTAATTTAAAAAATTTGGAAAAGAAGATAAGAGAGATTGAGAGTTTTTCATTAACAAAAACTAAGAGCTAATCCATGAAAATATTTTACTTTTTCCTTTATTTTGACATGTTACTTCATCAATGGTATATTCGACTTCATTTCATTAAGCTTTGTTCATGCACGACGCGTTTCTATCTTTGTCCATAGAAACTGTGTGGTTCAAGAATTTATTTTATGGTTCAAGAAATTATCGTATAAACTTTTTATTCTGTAAAAATAAATGAGAAATAAAGAAAAATATTAAAAATAGAGAAAAATCTGATATATATGCAAAAATATTATTTTATAACTTTCTTTCAAGCAAATATTATTTAGTACACAAAAAATGTTTTAATCTGAGTCTTACCTAGGAATCCAGTTAAACAAGTTCTAAGGTTAAACAATTACGTGAAAAAAAGAATATTAGATACTCTCATTCTTAACATTGAAACATGTTCGTCATTTAACTTTTATCAATCTAAAGTAGCAGTAAAATTAGAAAGAAAATAACTCAGTGAAACAGACATTGTTATATCCAAGTAGTAATAAACAATTTTATTGGAGAAAACACACATATATAGAAAATAAGTTATGAATTTATTAGTTATTTTATTACAATCACTTTTTTCATTTTTGGTATATGGTCATTACTATTTTATCTCAATGCATTTTAATAATATGGAGAAGCGTAATCCTATGTCATACATAACTTAAAGTTCATGTAAAAAAGCAAAACCGTGCTAGTTGACATTACTCTTCTTTTATGATTGCTGTGCTATTTTATTTTATACAATACCTAATTAATTAAATCGATATTAAAAAAATAATTAATTAAGTTAAACTTATTTTTTTTTAGAAATTATCTTTAAATTATTAAAGTAAGAATTCTAAATCAAATTTTATAAAATGGGCCAAACCCAACTTTTGTAAGTCTTTTCATTGTAGTTATTCCATTAGAAAATAGAAATATATATTTGAATCAAAGGATTTTATCAATTTCAAAATAAGTTTTCTAACACACAAAAAAGAACCTTTTTATTTCCCATCACTGGTTTTTGACCATCTTCTGTTGCCAGCTTGCTAAACTGTAAAGTAAAATATTATCTTTTTCTTTTCGCATTTATTATTCATCATGTGGAAACTTTGTTTTGCTCCTATGAGTTTGAGGGTACCTTGATTGATTGCTTATGGAAAATGAACTCTGCTGTAGGTTGGCTGCACCAGTAGCTAAATTTCAAATTACGTGGATTTTAAAATTATGATAATAGTAAGTCAAACGTATAATATAGTAACTAGTCCTAATTAAGAGAAGTTTTATCAAAATTAAAGTTATATCATTAATGAAAAATAGATTTTTCATAGCAAAATATTACACCAGTTATAATTCATTGGTATAAAAAGTGAAACAATAGTAATTTTGTAGATAATATGTGATCTTATACATTGGTGATGCGATGACAAAACTGTTTTTCTGCACCGGTTAGACCTAAAACTGGTATAAAAAGTGAAGCTAAACATGAGAATCTTGAGTATCTAATTTTTCACACAAAACAAACCTAAACACAAGTTGCAACCTTAAACTTTTTCCTTCCTCTTTAATCTCTCTTCATCCCCCACACACGAGCCCGTCATCTTTCATTTCAGCATCCAATAGTGAGGAAGACAAAGTGGTGTCATCGACGACACCTCTAGCGATAGTGACTTGATGTGACAACACCAACTTCATTCGGTGTCAACAACGAAAAATTTGAACTGACGAAAGATATAGTAGTTCGTGGCTCACTCGAGGTGGAGATAGGAGGGCTCCTTAGTTTTGAATCATCCATTTTCCATCAATATCCATTTTCACACAATGACTAACAAGTCTCCCAATTTTTCCAATCCCCAATTTTTTCAATTCCATACCCTCAACACTTCAACGATTATGGCTTTAACACTCAAATAAACTACTTTTAGGTTTCTTTTTCTCTTTCTCTTTCTCAACGTTTTTTTGGAAAAACTTCTTTTTTTCTTTGCATTCATAAACCATGACATTAATGTTATCTGTGTTCGATTTTCTACAAAATAGATGTTGAAAGAAGCCATGAAGCACAAGTGGGAGAAGCCGAGACCATAGACTCCATCCATTTCTAGCTCCAAATGCCCATTTCCAAGATGTTGCTTCTTTATTTTGGGGAAGAAATGGTTCAAATTTAAGACTCAATCTTTCTTTCATTGCAATTTGTAAGAAATGGTTCAAACAAGTTTATTTCATATGATAATTTATCCTCAAATTTTAAACACATTCTCTTGAAAATTTCTGCTTTTACTGAGCCATGTAACTACTCTAAGGCTTCCAAATCTCCCTAATCGATACAATCCATGGATGATGATGAGCTACAAGCCTTAAATACCAACCATATTCAGATCTTCACAGACCTTCCTCCTAGCAAAACAGTTATAGGTTGTAGATGGCTCTACAAAATAAAACACAAGTTTGACCATTTTAAGGCACGTATAGTTCCCAACGGACACCCAACTAGAAGGCTTGGATTATCTAGACATGTTTGCCCCTATAGCAAAGTTAACCACCCTTCATTTATTACTTATTGTTGATGCTTCAAACTAATGGATCCTCAAACAACTTGACATCAATAATGATTTTCTTCATGGTAATCTCCATGAAGAAGTCTACATACAACCTCCACCTGGTTTACCATAGTCCCAACAAAGTTTGAAAGCTACAACGCTCTTTATACGACCTCAAACAAGCTAGAAGATAGTAGTATGCAAACCTTTCTTCCTTCCTTATTTCTCACAACTATATTTGTTCTTTATTTGATCATTCCCTTTTTCTTAAACATGAAGATTCTGACATTACTACCATTCTTGTTTATGTTGACGACAATGTCTTGATGGTCACCAATGAGGGTAAAATCAGCAACATCACCATGCTGCTTGGCCAATAATTCCATATAAAAAACCTTGTAAATTTGACCTATTTTTTAGTCGTGGAAGTTTCTCGAAGTTTAGCTAGCATTCATCTCAGCCAACAAAAATGTATCCTTGACCTTCTACATGAAACCAAAATGATAGATTCTATAATACACCCCTTAATGAAGAAGATTCTTCCTCCTTTCATCATCTCATTGGCCGCCTAATTTATCTCACAAACTTTAAACAAGATATCACCTTCTCTGTCAATCATCTCAACTAGTTTGTCTCTTGTCTTACTACTTCTCATCAACAAGCCGACACATTCTCTGCTACCTTAAAGGTCATCTTGACAATGGTTTCCTCTTCAAAGTTCACACAAAACCCGAACTAAAAGCCTATAATGACTCTAATTAGTCTTCATGCCTGACACTAGGATGTCAGTTACT